GCCCCACACACCCATGGCTCCAGGTACACCATCCCCAGAGACTCTTTAGTCAGGGCCACCACTGGGCCCTGCTCAGCACCTGGGGACACAGATATCCCCTGTGCATCCGTATGCCAGCTCTCATCCTTGGAGGGCCAGCACTGCTCCAGCAGGGGGCTTCTCTCCTCCACAGCCATGAGTGTTAGGTGCCACTCCTGGCCCTGACATTGCTTCATGTCTGGCATAGGCGGAGCTGTCGGGCCCCACTGTCCCCACTGTCCTCACTGGAAATGGGCATCTGCTGACTTTCTGAACTCCACCTGGGCTGTTACCAGCACTGAGGGGCTGAACACCCCCTCAGGTGGTTTCTGTGCTCTGGGGAATGCCTGTGATGGGGGCTTCTGAGCTGTGGACATATTTGTCCACTGCTCCACCATACATGGGTCATCTGTGGTAGGCAGCTGGTGTATGTCAAGGCTACCGCTGACCCCCAGCCCGCTGTACTGAGCCAGGGGCAGGGCTGACCTGTCCTGGGCCTAGGAGACAAGAGTAGGGAATGGCAGGAAAGAGGCAGTCCCTGGAATCCCTTCACACCCACCCAACTCTGGGCCTCAGGCTCCACCTGCCTCTGAACCCCAGCCTCCCATGACCAGGGTGAAGTAGTCCCTCTGCCCCCCTGCACCCAGGGGGCTATGGACTCCCAGTGTGGGGTTCCAGTGGTGTCCAGGCCTGCAGAGACCTGCCCTGTTGCCAGATTCATCCTGGCCTTTTTCTGGTGAAAGTGCCAGGTGTGCCAGTGGTGAAGGCTGGCCCTGTGCCCCCACACTGGGCATGGTGCCCACAGTGGGCTTTCTTGGGTCCTGGGTTTCAGCATCATGGGATACAGCATAGGAACATCTTCCTACAAGTGTCTGTCCAAGTGAGCTGGTTCAGACTCAGCTCTGGAAATTAGGGGCTGGTTGCTTGGACACCCAATTCTCCAGGTCATCACCAACAAAGTGATGTCACTTCCTATGCCTCCTAAGCAGAGCCCCTCCTTACACAAATTCCCAGTGGGCACTGCCTGTTCAACTTTTACCCCTATGCCATGTGCTCACTGTCCACAGTTGCACCAACACAGACAACACCTGCCACAGCACGGGTCTGGGGGCAGCCAGTGCCATGGCTGGGCTCAGACCTGCTCCCTCATCCTTGAAAAAGTTTAACCCTACATTGGACATTCTCAGTCTCTCTAGTCTCTGGGGATCATTCTAGCATCTGCTTGCAAGGGATGCCATCAGTTCTGTAGTGCCAAGGGACCCCTAGGCCTGGCATCACCTGTGCTGATGCACACACACCCTCAGATATGGGAGATCCCAAGGAGGGCTGGGCAAGGAATGGGACATGCATGGAGTTCTAGGGAAAAGAGGGGCTTCCCTGGCCTCTCCTGCCACATCTTAGCCACTCCCATACATCTGGCTGTAACAGAACTGGAAATCTGTTTCTCATGACCATGGTTTTCTTTTCTTTTCCTTAAAAAAATGTTTATTTGAAAGACAGAGTTAAAGAGAGAGAGGGAGAGACACAAAGAGTTGTGTTACATCTGTTGGTTCACCCCCCAAAAGGCTGTCATCAGGCACAACTCCATCTGGATCTCCCACATGGGTAGCAGCGGCCCACACATGGGGGCTGTTTTCTACTGCTTTCCCAGTTGTATGAGTAGGGAGCTGGGTTGGAAGTGGGGCAACCAGGGCTCAAACCTATACTCAGATATGGGATGCCGGAGTTGCAGGTGGTAGCTTAACCTGCTGTGCCATAATGCAGGCCCCAGGGAGGTGATTTTACCACCCCCCAGTTTCTCTTTTACTCACAAGTTTGCAATGCTTTTCTTTATGTTCCTTCTGCTAGAAGCACTCCAGCAATGACAGTGGTGACCTATGTGGGATGGTTCCTAGCCTAGGGTTGGGGTTTCTGGGAACTGGGAGTATGATATAGGTAGTGTCAGATTGAAGAGTGCCAGGCAGCTTATGGATAACACATGCTGCATCCTGGGTCAAGATACCCATCACCAAGATCTCAGCAATAGTGGCAGTAGGTCATCCAGGACCATTTACTCTTGGGAACACTTACTCCACCCTATGCCAGTCAGGTGTGGCTTGGGACCTGGCATGCTGAGCTGCTGATGCAGAGACCTGAGAGGTGCACGGTCACCTGCACTCCTGTTTGTCCAGCATCTCACTGGAATCAGGACTGAGTCATTTGGGCAGCTCTGATAAGTGCCCTAAACATGATTGCCAGGACCAGAAGTTCAGTGCCAGGGCAGAATTGTGGAGGAGAAAGGGACAGCCTTTCCCAGGACGCCAGAATGCTGGTGTCAGGTTCTCCCCTGGGAGACAGAGGAGTGCAAAGCGAGAGGTCTGAGAACCCCTGAGCCTGGTCTCTGGGTTGCTGGGTCTGACCTTCCCTGCTTCACAGCATGGGGCCACTTTATTCTGGGTTAGAGACCGCTGCCTTTTATAGGTAGAAATTGAGAGGGAATTTCATGGTTCACAGTGGATGACTCTGAAGTTGGGTTCACCTTCCCACCACTTGATGTCAGTCTGGGATTTTATTTTTCTTGCTCCCTCAGTCCCAAGAGGTTTTCATGTTTCACCAGTTCTGTGCAGCTGCCCATGGGAGAAAATGTCTTTTCCAAGCTGAAGTCTGGACTTATACCACCCCCACCTGATTCTATAACTCTACAGTGGCCTCTACATCCCAAAGAGGCTAAGAGGGTACATGAGACAGCAGGCTTCGTGAGACCCTGATGCACAGGAAAGTCAGGGGTTTCTAACAGCTGCTTCCTATCTCAGAGTGTCCAGACAACCTAAACACTATCAGTCCTGAGGCTAATCCTCTTTATTGGTGGACTTTGCCTTCTGTGTTTCGTGAGCCATAACATGTAGAACATCAGCATGGGAACACAAAGAAGTGGAGGAAGGGTGCTGGCTTGCTCATTGCTTTCCAGTCTATTCCAGGGAACCCAAGAGGATGAGGGACACTGACACAGGTGGGTGACCCTGAAACCACAAAGCACCCATCCATATGTTAGCTGCTAAGTTAGAGCCTCACCCATGTGCCTACAGCAAGCAGGAAGGACACTGGTGATGAGTGGCCAAGGTGTCCCTAGACGGGAAGGGCTCAGCTCCCCTCAAAAGAAGAAAACTGATGGGTTACTGGCTCTGCAGATAGCTCCTCTGGATAAAATCCAAATCCCCTGTGGAGCCCCTGGCTATCCTAAAGGAAGAGGACAAGCTGGAGAGATAGAAGATGGACACTAGAGTCACAAAATGAGCTATTAAAGGAGTTTCAGTGACAGGAGACACAGCAACGGGTAACCTTTGCCCTGTGACCTGGTTTTAAGGTTCTGACTCACTGATTCCCTGAGCTTCCCATCCCACCCTTGGGAAGAGACTGGTAACGAAATCAGATGCTTCTGGGTCTTTAAGTCAGGATGGAGTAGCAGTGGATGTCTAAGTCATTAAAAGACTTCTAATGGTGGGATTTGAAGCAGCAGTTCTGACACTGTGGGGGATACACACATCCTACATGGTGGTGCTTAGATTCCAGTCCTATCTCTACTTTGATTCTAGCTTCCTGTGGCAGCACATGATGGCTCAACTATTTGGGTCCCTGCCACCCATGTGTCAGACCTCAATTGAGTGCCCAGCCCCAGTAGTGGGCATTTCGGGGGTTGAATCAGCAGATTTGTGCTGTGTCTTTCAAATAAATAAACAATGTTTAAAAAGTCTGTAGAGGGAAATAATAGAACAAAGTGGTAATGGGTAGTTTTTGATTTCAAAGATGGCTGGAGTCCCTCAGGTTTTAGGTGTAAGGTTCATATGACTTGCTGCCTGGAGACCCCAATTGTCTGGAAACCATCCAATCAGGCCCTAAATATAAATTCAGTTGATCTTTGCTAGGAAATTCATGAAAATCGCTTAAAGGTCTTTACCAAGTGCCTTAACCTGTGTTACAGCAACCACAAAATGGAATTAGGATACAGCCCATTTGAATTATCTATGGAAGGCTCTTTCCAAATTGTTCTGACCCCTTGACCTGCCAAAGGTGGAAAATGAGAAGAAAACATAATGAGGGCAGGTAGTGGCTGCTTTCATCTGATGTGCAAATAAGACCTAGTCTCACCTACACAGGTAGGAAGCCCACCCCCTTGATTGGAAACTGAGCTCTCTTCAGGAGCAGTTTAACCCCATCTGGGCAGGACCACACCTGGCCCTGCTAACCACTAATTGTTCTCTTAAACTACCACATGGGACTCCTTGCAGTCACCACACCTGAGAGCAGAAAAGTTCCTTGTCTCTCTTGAACCCCTGCATGGCTTCTTGGAGAGCCCGTGTCAGACCTCAAACTGCTGCTCCAAAGGGCCCCACATTGAATGTCAGGTAAGGAAGCCTCTAAATGCCTGCCCTGTTGCCCACAGCCTCTGGGGGCTACACCTGGTGTCTCGACTCCTTTGTTGATCTTGAGTACGAGTCTCACTCCACCAACATGGGCCATGTCTAGGTTCAGCAAGAAGTAATTACACAAGCATGACTTCCTGCCTTACCCCTCCAGAGTGGGAGTGAAATGTCTCAGGGGGCATCTTGTAGCCAAATGTGTAGTATTAGGGGCAAGTGGGGAGGGGAGAACTGGACCAGGGTCAGGGAATCTAAACTGCCTAGAGCTTGTTTTCCAGATGTCCCCAGGGAGCCGCCATAAACCACCACCGAAGCAGCAGCAAGAGCCCGTTTGAGTCTGATCTTGCTGACCTGAGCTAGGCTTTCCTCATAATGCTATCCAGTTCTCCGCCAGGAGAGGGGACGGCCGCCATTTTCTGAACACAGAAAGTATGAAGATGTCACCCGGGTGGAAGCAGGAGGGGCCCTCCCGTCTGTGGCTGGCCTTGGTCATGCTCTTCCCCCTGCTACAGAAGCCCAGGCAGACGACGGAGGCAGTTTCTTTGGGGAACTCCTCCCTCCCACGGTCTACTTCGTCACTAGGTTATGTGGGGACGCCTGAAGCCACAGGACCCTTACTGCGGACACCCGGACGTGCAGCCTTCCCAGCGGACCCAGCGAGGCCCGAATAGTCCACAGCCGCGGGGGATGCTGGGAAAACGGAGAGAGGAGGCTGAAGGGCCTATGGGGTCCTTTCCTCCCCGAAGACGCCATTTTGGAAACATTTTCCTCATTCAGGCTTCTTTGGCAGCGTCTGGAGCTTTCCCCCTAAGTATTCTATTATTTTAAGTTTCCAACAGAAAAGTCGGCATTTGCAGCCCACATGCACTGCCCCCAGCTGTGGCACTCCTCGCACCCCTCCCCGCACAGCGCCCACGTTGTGGGCCGGCGTTCAGGATCTAAGTGGCTTCCAGGGCCGAATCCCGCGGCTGCTGCTCGCATGGCTTCGCCTTCAGCACCGCGGTAGATGGGGCTCTTGCGCCCCAACCGGCTTGGGGGACAGAGGACGCGAGCTCTGGACTCCGGGAGCCGCGGCTGCCCGCGGGGTCCGCCTAACGGTCCGGGGCGAGCGGGCTCAGCGAACGGCAGCAGCAGACGCCCCCTCGCGGTCGGAAGCTGGTGGCGGGCGCTGGGCGCGGGACCTTTCCGTTAGGTGCGCGGGGAGTGCGGGTTGCGCTCGCGTGACTCCCGGGCACTCGAGCCTCTGCTGGCATCCAGACCCCGAAAGCCGCCATAGCACCTTTGAGTCTGCAGTGCCCACACCTGGCACCTGTCCCCGGCCCGCGCTGCCCCCTGGACCACGGGTAAGTGCTGGCCGATCTGCTGGGCTCTTCCTGCACAGTTGTGGTGGGACCCAGCAGGCTGCCCCTTCCCTCCGGGGATCGCGGGGCCTTCCTCTCTGCGGGCAGGTGCGGACCCCAGTGGGCTGGGAGGGGTGGGGTTCTCAGGTGCAGACCCGAGGCGCTGTCTCTTCTGTGGCCAGGTGTGCAGGGAGGAACAAACGCCAGGCTGGCTGGCTGAGGAAGGGGCTGGGTCTAGAATGACGCCCGGGAGAGGGTGGGGCAGGGGCTGCAGCCTGGATTCCAGAAAATCTCTAGCACCTCTCAGCAGCAGGCGGGATTGGGTGGGCGTTTTCTTTTAAGGGAAGAACTGCTGTTGCTGGAGACGCGGGTGACTTGCAAGCAAAATAGCCTTAGACGTTCAGAGTGAAAAGGAGGCCATTGCGTGGTCTCCATCAGAGCTTCCATTTTACAGAGGGGAAAACCTCTGTAAAGGCCCGGGGATGGGGATGGAGGTGCTCTGGGTGGGAGCAGAAAGAGGCCTGCACCTGGTGGGCATCTGCCTCCCCCCACTGCAGAGCGGGGGTGATGGGGCCGGGTTGGAAGGCCTCCACGCCCCTCCTCTCTGGGCAATTGGCTGTGCTTGGGAAGGGGCTGAATTAGCCCCTCGGAGGCCCATCTGCTCCAGAGCTTCTCCCTGGGAGGGTGGGGATGAGGGGAGGGGACTACAGTTGGCTCTTTGTTTTTCTTAAAGCAATGGTAGACTTGATATTGAGTGCTGGGCCTGATTGAATAAAGAGACACAGTGAAGTGTATTTCCCTGTAGATGTGGGAGACAGTGAAGTCAGTGATGAGCACTGACAGGGTGAGCTGACTGCCCTAATCTGCAGTCAGGCCATTTCATTCTCTTGGTGGCTCCTGACTGCCCAGGGAGGACGTGGTGTTGACAGTGGGCTTGGTTGAGGCCCTGGCTGACCCTCAAGGGTGTGTGTCTTGACCATAGCTACCTCTTCCCAAGCATCTTAGATCGAGCCCTCTACCTCCCCATTATGTTACCAAGGGATGGCCTCCTCAGTTTGGTATCCTAAATAAAAAAAAAAAAAATGAACCCTTGGTTCCTTTTCTAAGTAGCCTGGAGCAGTTTAGGGGACAGTGTGCCACAGCAAGTATACTTGACTTTAGAGTCCCCTTGCTGATCTTTTCTCAGCCCTGGCATTGCCCTACTTTCTCTTTAGGGGTTCACTTTCCTTTTATAAGCCATGGGAAGAGGGGGGAGTGGGAAGCATATTTTTCCTCTGGTGTCAGGGCTGTGGTTGAATAGCTCATGAAAGGCAGAGAACTGGTTGCCAACAGGGCTCAGCCTATGCAAGCTTTTGTTTCTACGGGTGGCCAGTTTGGTCTTATGGCTGAGGTCATGGTTGACTTGGTGGAGAATCCCCAAATTTTGGGTTGCTAGCAGTAGACATCTTTCTCTTTTTCATCTGGTAAGTATGAATTAGTTATTAGCTTCTCCAAGGCCTGTGCAAAAAGAGGGGGTACTCCTCCTATAGGTTCCTGGTTACAACTTGTGGTTTCAGTACCATCTGAGTTGAAGTCTTGGCCCAGACGTTTGCCAGCTGAGGTGTTGTTGGCAGGACATTTTGCTATCAGTCCAGGTGAATGTTCTTTTATTTGAGATAAAAGTGGGGGTGTGAGCATTGTGTTTCGTGGTTGGGACTTCAGAGTATCAGAGTGCCTGGGTTTTGTGCCTGTCACCTTCTTGCTAATACAGATCCTGATGGGTTAAGGCTCAAATGCTTGGGTACTACCACCTGTCAGGGAGATATTGGGTGAGTTCCTGGTTCTTGGCTTCCATCTGTGGCTGTTGTGGGTGTGTGGGGAATGGATCAGTGGGTGAATGAAAAACTAAACACATGGAATGTTCCTGTGCCATGGAATCTATCTAATGGTTTCTAGTGACTGCAGATTGAATGCTGGTGTTTTCTAGTTTTCCCATTTCCCTGATGGTTGGTTTTAGACTATATGCACAAGACAAGGGAAGACAGACTGCAGACTACAAACTCAGTAGCTAGAACCGGTTTATTCAGAGACAGACCTGAGAAGGGCCCTCTACTAGCAAGGGTTAGGAGCACGTTCTGGTACAGACTAGGGGCTTATCTAGCCTGGGCTACTTTCAGTTCAGGGTAGACAGGGATTACACAGCACTGAGATAGTTTGCCCTGGCTTTTTCAAACTTCCTGAGGGTTAGGTCTAATGGCTGAACTCTTGAGATAGTGGTGTGGCTCTAAGATAGCATCACTTCTGCCCATGATATTGCTCAAGGTCCAGAATTCTGACTCTAAGGATAGATAGAGAGATGGGTGCTGGTATCCTATTGGCCACTTCCTGCTGATACAAGGCTGTATATCCAGATTGAGAAGAAGAGCAGTCTTGTGATGTTCCTGCAGGTTGGCTTGTTATATAGCAGTCACTCATTCCTGTGAGGACTTTTGGTAATTATACACCATAAATGCTGTTTCCTGGGTATAGATAAAAATTGGGGATGAGTATTACCGGGCACAGGGAGGATGGGCAGGGGTGATGGTTTTTAGAAAACTATTGTGGTACATGAAATGGGTGCTGGGGGGAGCTTTTATGGCTTTTCTGGTTTGGTTGATAGTGATGGTGTTATTACAGTCCCAGGGTAAGGCTGCTTAGGGAGTACTGAAAGTGATACAGGTGGTGGACTGTATATCATGGAATGCAGTATAGTTACAGGGTACAGAATCAATGTCTGTACCATGTTAAGTGGTGTGGCAATGGGGCACAGTGCAGAGATGCCCCATTCTCTAATTGGCAGGCGGAGCTGGCAATCCTGGCCCAAGGAATATCCCGAGGATTGGAGGATGGTGTGGGTAAGACTTGCTAGTTGTACAGCAGGGAGTTGGGGGTAAAATAATGATGAAGTTTGCTTGGGCTTATCCTCTTTGGCCAGGGATTGAATTTGGGCAGAGTCCTGACTTGCCTGCAGGGGTTGTAGTTTTTCTACAAGGATTTTTATTTTTATTACGTGAATTAAGCCCCAAGATCTTTTGACATCAATATGAATACTGACCCTCTGTCCTCGAACCTACTTAGGATCTTTGAGACTGGTAATGGTGTACATTACTGAGTGTGCTGCCTAGGAATGCAAGGAGGTGAAGCAGGGACCACTGTTTTTAGTTTTAAATCCTGACCTCAGCCTACAAGAACATTAGAGGGTAAGTGTCATCCATGCATATCCATGAAGGGCAATAGTACTGGGGAGGAGGGGGAGAGTCTTGGGTTGGGCAGCCCCACTTCTGTCTATCTCTGGCTAGATTGCCTTCTTGGAAAGCGTGTGTTTGTATTTCTGGGTATAAGGCCATTCCAAGCCTATTCCCCTGCATTGTATTTGTCCTTTGTTTGCAGCCTTACAAGCATTGAACTTAATAACTGGGGAGGAACCTGGTTTTGTTATGTTGTAGACCTATAGGCGCCAGGAGCCAGGAACCTCCTCCTGGTCTCCCATGCGAGTGCAGGGGCCCCAGCACTTGGGCCATCCTCCACTCCCCTCCGGGCCACAGCAGAGAGCTGGACTAGAAGAGGAGCAACCAGGACTAGAACCTGGCACCCATATGGGATGGCAGTGCCACAGGCAGAGGATTTACCAATTGAGCTGTGGCACTGGCTGAGAGAGTTTTTGAGAGAGTATCCAAGAGGGGCTGGGAGGTCAAGGCCTGGCTGAGTTATTATGGGGAATTGAGTGGTTTGAGCAGAGCAAAGGGTGGGGGTCAATACGGAGGGGCTTATTAGCTGAATTGAAAACATCTGGATCGAATGATGAGGCTTCAGCTCTAGATTCTAAGGTGGGTTTGGGAGAGAAAGGGGGAACAGAGAAGGATGTCATAGGAGGAACAGTCCTTACACAAAGACTGTTGGTTGTGAAGAATTCTCACAAGTAGGGAATCTCAGACCACTTGCCATTTCATTTGAGGAAGTTGTATAGGTCTGTAAGGATGTTTTGATCAAAGGTGCCAAATTCTGGCCAGTGGCTGTGAATGTCTGATTTGTATTGAGACCAAACTTGCAGACAAAAGCGCTTCATTGACAGGATTTTAATCTCTGTTCTGTCTCTTCTGGCTGTAAGGCTTCAAGGAAGTCACTTCATCACTCTGCATGTTTCCTAAATGTTGTAGTGAGGAGTCTCACAAGGTGCCCCCGAAGAGCCGCTGTAGGCCATACAGGAGTTTCCATGTGCAGTGCTTGGCTCAGGTCCAGGCCGTCCAAAGGGCTGTGCTGGTTTTCGCTGTGGATGTTTTGCCTGAATGGACAAGTGAGGCAGAAGGAGGTAGCAGGGCCTCTGGGGACAGCAAGCCTGGTGTTGGGGAGAGAAAGAGGGGGGGTCTCTATTGAAGGGTGGGAGTACCCATTGGGGAAGTAGTCAGGCTGGGTAGGAACACAGGGCCAGACAGTGGTGGCCTTGGGAGCTGGGCTGAAGGGGTCCACCCAGCATACTGGGAGCCCTAGCAGGAGTCAGATGGCAGTGAGGGCAGTAGGACACTGGTCAGGTGTGTGTGAGTGGGGAGCAGGGCTTCACTTGGAAGCCTTGGCTCAGAATCTTCCCCCTTCATACCTCAGAATCTTGCCTGTCTCACCAGGATAGTCACTCCCCAGCCTCCACTGCGGTCCCTGGCTCCAGCCCACAGCAGATTTGGGGGCCACCACCTAATAACTTGTGGGCTCTGTGTCACCAGACTCAGTTCCTGTAGAGAGCAAGCCCCCAGGGGAGCTGGAGCTGCGTCTCATGTGTGGACACTCAGGGCTTCTGAGACGAGGGTCTCTCACTGTTGTTCTATGGACCATTTGGCATCTGTGGCCTGGGCGTGGAGACACAGGAATGATCTGAATATGCAGGGTTTGTGGAGAGAATGATTGGAGGAGCAGACCCCAGTTTTTTGACGCTCTTCACCTGCTGCATTACTTAGGAAAGGATGGGTGTTGACATTAAACAAAGTACAGGTGCACTTGGAGGAGCTAGGCCATGGAGGGAGCTGGAAGAGGAGGCAGGGCTGGGCATGTAGGAGGGGCAAGGGGTGAGTGCCGGGTGTACATTGTGTTAGCAATGCCCGGCTTCCTCCCATAGGGTTCTCCATAAGGGGCTGACAAGAAAACGGCTGCGCTGCCCCTTGCGCTCTGTGATTCTTCCATTTCCTTTTGTTGTGCTGAGAACACTGCACGGGAGATCTGCCCTCTGAGGCTTCTCTGCATCTCTAGAATTCTAATTCTCTAAAAAAAAGATTATTTTTTTTTGAAAGTCACAGTTACAGAAAGAGGGAGAGACAGAGATATCTTCTATCGGTTGGTCATTCCACAGATGGTCGCAATGGCCCTGGGCCAGGCTGAAGCCAGGAGCTTCTGCCCAGTACCCTGTGGGTTGCAGGGGCCCAGGTACTTGGTCCACCTTCCTCTGCTTTTCCCAGACCATTTGCAGGGAGCTGGATTGGAATTGGAGCAATCAGGACAGGAACTGGTGCCCACATGGGATGTGAGGGTTTACAGGCTGTGGCTTTACCTTCTACATCACAACACTGGTACCATCTCTAGAACTTCTTCATCTCCCAGCCTCCTGCTTTTTCTGGACCCTGGAAGGAAGTCTTTGTTGTCCAAGACAACTGCCTTAGTCACCTGAGCACTGGTCTTGGTTGAGTTTCCCCAGTGTGCTTTCCGTGGCTATTCTGCCAGCACGGGAGGCTGGATTGACTTTGGGATTCTCTGGAAAGATTATCCAGGGTGATCTCATACCTGTGAAGGAGTGAAGTGAACAAAGGGTTTAGTCAGGCATGGAATGAATCTTCCTTTGTCCCATGGACATCTTTAGAATGTTTTGGGGAAAAAGAAACAACTGATCCTCAGCAGTATTCTTTAACTGCTTTTATATAATATAAAAATGAAGTGAGTTTTCATCTCTGTAATGGGAAAACCATTTTTAAAGGGGACATGTATTTTTATATAAATAGAATTGGAGCTGCCCAAGTTAAGGTTTGTGTATTTGTGTACAATTTACTTTTAAAATATATCTTTTAAAACTCATGTGGTGGCCGGCACTGTGGCTCAATAGGCTAATCCTCCACCTGTGGCACTGGCATACCAGGTTCTAGTCCTGGTCGGGGCACTGGATTCTGTCCTGGTTGCCCCTCTTCCAGGCCAGCTCTCTGCTGTGGCCCAGGAGTGCAGTGGAGGATGGCCCAAGTGCTTGGGCCCTGCACCCCATGGGAGACCAGGAGAAGCACCTGGCTCCTGGCTTTGGATCAGCGTGGTGCGCCGGCCGCAGCGTGCCAGCCGCGACGGCCATTGGAAGGTGAACCAGTGGTAAAGGAAGACCTTTCTCTCTGTCTGTCTCTCTCACTGTCCACTCTGCCTGTCAAAAAAAAAAAATTATGTGGTTAACATTATCCATAGAAGGGGCTGGCACTGTGGCACAGAGGGTTAAAGCCCCGGCCTGCAGTGCCTGGATTCCATATAGGTACTCCATTTTCAATCCAGCTCCCTGCTAATGTTGCTGGGACAAGTAGCAGAGGATGGCACAAGTTCTTGGGAAACTGCACCCATGTGGGAAACCTGGAAGAATCTCAGCTTTGGATTGGCTCAGTTCTGGATTTTGAGGGCATTTGGGAAGTTTACCAGTGGGAAGACCTCTCTCTCTCTCTTGGCTTCTGCCTTTCTGTAACTCTTTCAAAAAATATATTTTTTAAAAAAAAATACTGATAGGAAAAAAGAAAAGTGGAAGCTCATTTCACCAGTACACCTAATAGTTTTGTATTCTGGGTCAGCATACGAAGTAAATTGGATGCTGTCAAGGTACAGAGGGTTAAGCCTCCCTTTGGGGCACCCCCATTTCTTGCCAGAGTGCTGGATGAAGACCTGGCTACCCTGCTTCTGATCCAACTCCCCTCGAATGCACTGAGAGACAGCAGACGGTGACCTGAATCCCTGGGCCTCTGACACCCACATGAGAGATGCAGATGGAGTTTCTGGCTCCTGGCTTCTGCCTGGTTCTGTCTTGGTGGTTGTGGGCATTTGGGAAGTGCCTCACTTAATGGGAGACTTCTCTCTGTGTGTCTCTCTCTACCTTTCAAGTAGGTGAAAATAAGTAGACATTTCTTTGACTGTATTTTATCTTATTTTTTGGAGGTTTGCAGTTTTATTGAGAAAAAAAAGAAGGCAAGCTAAACTGAAAGGCAGCGTCTCCATTCCAGCGGCACCTGAGTATGCTGGACATCCTGAGAGGCACGTAGGGTTGTGGGTGGCCTCCATGCCGTCCTGCGGGCAGATGAGTGCTGTGATGCCCAGGCCCAGCTGCTGTGTCCTCCCTCAGCTTGTATGGCTCATCGGGATCAGGGGGAGTGAACAGCAGGCTGAGTAATGCACAGGCTGAGGAAGGCAGGCTGGGACCCTGACTCGAGACAGGATGATGAGGGTTGTCCACCATGGGAATCTTCTTAATGTAGCTGAGTTATGTGCTCTAAAATTCCATGTTTTGTGGACTCTACTCAGTTAAAGGAAGCCAACAGATGTTATACCAGGCAGGCCCACAGGTGCTGGGATACTGACATCGGGGGCCATTTACATGCCTAGCACAGGCCTGCTGAGCATCATGGACACTCCTGGGCAGGCTCTGGGCCCTGCGGATCGATTGCCACTCTCACTTATGCTTCAGCCTCATTTCCCTGCCCTCTGAGCCTTTCTGTCTCATGTTGTGGCTCCCTGACTGGAGGACACAGCTTTGGATGTTCCTGGTGACAGCCTGAGAGGGGCTGAGCTGTCTTGCATCCTGGACAACATCTCCATCCAGGCTTCCTGCTCCCTGTCTACACTGCCTGCCTGCCTGGGGGCTCCCTGCTTCTGCTCCCTGGACAGCCTGCCCTGCCCTCCTTCTGGCTCTCACTGCCCAGCCCCCTCTCCCAGGACACCTGCCCATGCCTCACAGGTGCCACTTGGTCCTGGGTCTCACCCCACGGTGTTATTCTTCTGTGGTTCCCCATCGTGGGACAGACTCTGCAGCTGTGGTGGAGGGCCCTGAATAGCCACTGTGTCAGTGTAAAGGGAGAAGATGTGTGTAACACTGAGCAAGTCAGCCAGGGCCTGAGAAGACCAGACAGTCCTCCTGGACCTGACTGAGAACCTGACCATGCATCAGCTCAGCCCAAATAAGCATCTGAGCAAACCAAACAGCCCAGGC